CCGCTTTGCTCCAAAGTGCATCCCGGTCAGGGAGGAGGGCAGGGAGCAGCAGCACCAGCAGGGACACCAGCAGGGATGCAGGGACGCAGGGCTGCAGAGACACAGGGCTGCAGGGACACAGGGATGCGTTTCAGGAGCCGCTTTGCAGGGAGATGCTCCTGCTTACCCAGTGACCCCGAGGCGGTGACTCAGCGATTGCCGCGCGCTGGGGGGGTGGGGGGGCTTTCCCCCCTTCCTCCTTCTTTTCTTTCCTGATGAAAAACGATGCAATTACGTTTCTGCATGCTGATCTGAGAGTTCAAATAACAAGCCTTAAACGCGTTATCAGGCGCTCGTTAAAGGAGGGAGGGGGGAGGAAAGAGGGGAGGAGGGGATCTAGACGTACGTGTGCGTGAGCATGCTTGCATATGTGTGTGTGTACATATATATATACACACACACACGTATATATGCAAGTGCTTCTATCCTTACATAAGGGTGCCCATACATTTAAATGAGAGACTGCTAGATGGGCCACTGCTCGGCCTGAACCCACAGGGAGGAAGAGGAGGGACAGGGCCCCCTGTAAAACAACRGCGACGACGACGGCAAAAGAGAGGGGAGAAGCAGGGGCGCAAATCCCCGCGGGAGAAACAGCCTGCGACTCCCCCTTCCTCTCTATTTTCCGAACGCAACGTGACTTTCCCACCCGGTATCCATCCGCACCGCCCCCCCCCCCGCCCCGGTGTAATTCCCCAGGTCCCGGGTGCATTGGAACGGGTGCCCCCACCCAGTCCCGGGGCTCCCCCCGCCGACAGGATCCTTCCCGCATGTTCCTGCAGGATCCTCTTGGCCGGGCCGGGATTTCCAGGGGGGAGGAGGGAATGTACGCGATGAAAAATGCGAACTTTTGATTGCAGGAGTCACGGTAGAATTGAGAGGAGCTGCGAGGAAATATGTCACTTGATCCCAGGGCTCCCCAAGTCCCTTTTATCAGACGTCGTGTTGGGGAGATTCTGCTGCTCCAAAAGCAGCTGGATGCTTAAAAGTGTCCGACATCGGAAAAACGCAGGAATCGGGGTAAAATGAACACACGCCCAAACTGACCACACGGCCATGAAAGTCCCAAACGGATTAGATAAACAAACATATATATATAATATACATATACACATTTAAAAAAAAATGCACGGTAAAACTGTAGCTGCCGCCTCGGCGAGGGGCGAGCAGGCAGCGTGCGCGTGTTTGTGTGCAATGCCAAAAAGAGCAGCCTTAAGGTTGACCTGCTGCAATCTGCACTGAGCTCCTCAGACAATAGACAAGTTCAAATGTCAAAAAATCTAATAATAATAATAATAAAAAAAAGAGCTGCCAAACTGCACGAACTGTTTTCTGGTGTACCACAGTTACTCATCCTCTTATCCACTAAGAGACTGCCAGCCCTTATGCGCGTAAAAGAAAATCTATGTAATGCATATGGATCTTTTTTTTTTTCACATGTGAAACGCTATTGAGATGGCAAGCACGCAAATCAGAATGATATCATGTCTAATAAAAGCAGGGCTAAGGTTTTCGCAGTCTTTAAAAAAGACTCTAACTTGTAAATCCTTTTTTTTTTTTTTTTTTTTTTTTTTTTTTTTTTTTTGCTACATGCACATTACTCTTATAAATAAAAATCTACATGCCCAAGGATCCGGACTGCAACTGCATATCCCCATGATTTTCACGTCGGCGGGAACATTAGGTTTCTATCATATGCAATGTGCCTACGTCGAGCTCAAGTCAACAGATAGATCGTTCCATTCATTTGGCAACTTTCATTCCGGTGCGTGTGAGGTGAACCCTAAGCACACCACGTTGGGTAATATCGGAATTATGCAGCTGGGAAAGAAAAGACCTCTATTTTAAGCCTCTCTTGCTTTGCATGCGCAGCTCTGCATTATTGTGCGAATTTATTACGCAGCCCGAAATGCTTTGTTATGCTCAAAACAATAAATAAGGTTGAGAGCGAAGCCGTCGTAATAAAAGGTATGGATAAATGATCGGSCCGCCTATTATGTGCATCGTTATTATTGCAAGCCTTTAAAAGTCATATGTATATTTTCCTCTGTTCTCCAGATTGACTAGTGCAATATCCCTAGCGCAGCTACCAACGTGGTCATAAGAGCTCTGAACTGCAGCCTGGGCAAGGCTGAGACGCACGGAGCGAATCACGTCAGCCAAGAACGCTCCCGAGCTGGAAGCCAGTCAACGTTCCCAGCCCACTGCCGCATTATGCAGGAATATGTTTTACATACAGCGTCCTGTATACGGAACATGTCTTTATGTTCAACATTTTCATTTGCGAACGCTAATTAGGCAGTTGGTCTCCACGGTTATATTAGTGGCTACCTAATCACTCCCCACGATAAGTAAATGAGTCCTAAACACAGTAAACAGCCACTTTATTTTCCCTACCTCCGTGACAATATCGTTTCTACATCCATTTTCCAGAGGCGTCCATTTGAACAAAATAGACATTTATTAAGGGGGGGGAGGGGGTAGCACTGTCACCGATATCGTGCCACTTTGGGCATAAATCTGAGAATCCTGCCCGAATGGCTTTTTTTTTTTTTTTTTTTTTTCAAAGGCGTCAAGGAAAGTAAGTTCTTGCCGAATTAACTTGTTGCTTGTTTTAGCTTCAGCTTTTCTGCTCGCCTTTATTCCCCGCTGAAGTCTGCTGCAAGTAGCTAACGCGGGCATAAGACGGAGAAGCTGCGCTGCTAGCTGGTATTTTGTTTAAAATATAATGCAAGGTAYCTTTGGAGAGAGGGCAGAGGGAAACTGAGGGTAGATAGTGCCCTTTCCCAAACCAGGATCAAGACCTGGGCTCTTGAAACACAAGTAAATAAACAATAAATAKGTTCAATAAATAATAATACTAAAAATACCCTCATGTTCAGATCTGAGGGCAATGTTTACTAAACTACAGCAAATCTACACGGAGTGACCACGTTCCTGATGAGAATTGCACTCTGGAAATGTGTTTTGCCGGTCTGGAATATTGCTGGCGCTTGTTTCGCCAAAAGCAGTAGGTGGAAAGTTTTGTTCATGTAAATATCCCGACCAGTTTCCCCGCGCGCTCGACACACGTTGAGCTTCGGCTCCGTTTCCCAAAAGAAACCCCACGAACACTTTAGACGAAAATAAAAAACAGGAGAGAAAAGTCCGTGTAGGTCGCCTATAGGTCGCCTCCTTACTTGCTTACTCGACTTGCTTACTCTTTTTTTTTTTTTTTTTTTTTCGCTTTAGCTTTTTAAGCAGGGCGAGCTCCTCTTGCCAGGGTCTATCATATTTATGGGCTGTGCGATTTCCAGGGCTCCAATTGGTCTTTCCTTTATGGAGAGGCGAGGGATGAAACTTTCCCAGCGGCTCGGAAAGTGCTGGGTACGGGGGGAGCCAGGGCCCCCGAGCCCCCCCGGCGATGCTGGATTCGGGCTCCCCCCTGGCCCGTCCCCCCGGCAGGTGCTTGACCTGGCGCCGCAGCCACTTTTGGCTCTGCCCGGCGCGCACAGAGCGGGAGGGAACTGGGCGGGTAGGAGGAAGAGAAAGAGCAGCCGTGTTTACTGATATCCCCCCCCCCCCGCAAAACATGGAGCRAAAATCATTTCCTCCCTCCCGCACCCCACTGGGAAGACAGACGGCTGCAGGAGCGGGCGCMGGGGCTGGGACGGCGCGTTCGCCTCGGGGCATGGAAGCCGCCGCTGGGCTCGGTGGTGGGCGCCGCCGTTTGGCGTCGCTGGGTTGGGGTTGGGCGGAACGGGAACGGGAGCGAACGGGACGTCCCGGGCGGCGGCAGCCCCCGTGCCGGGGCAGAGCCCGGAGTTGCCGCCCGCTCCCGCGCGGGCAGGACTCGGCGAGGGGGGAGAGCGGCTAAAAACGATCAAAAACTTTTACTTGGTTTAATATGGCAATTCAATATTAAGTGATTGGAAAAGTAGTTTTATTGCCTCTCCGTAGGCTTATCGGCCCTATCTAGGCAAGAAGCCCTGCGGTCCCTGGGGTCACCCCGCACCGCCCCGTCCTCGCCCGGCCCGGCCGCGGCACCGCGGGCGCCCTCACACCCGCTGCGGGAAACATCGGGAGGCCCTTTGGGCATCGCCCCCGCGCCCCGGCCGCCCCCCGCCTCTACCAGGGCCGCCCCTCACCGCGTTTCGGGGCTCCCCGTTCGCGCGGGGCCGTCGGGGCGCGCGGGGGATGGGGGGCGCGCGGCGGCCGCGCCGTCCAGGGCCCCAGGGCGCCCCCTGGCGCCTCGCGCCGCCGCCGCGGCCGCGCCGAGCGCAGCCAATAAAATCGGCTCCCGCGTTTCCACCGCCCAAGCGCCCGGCAGAATAAAGCGCGTTTTGGTGAAGGGAAGGAGCCCCGGGCCTGGCGGCCTCCCCTCTGGCTGAGCTGGGGCCCTTTTATCTAAAGCCCAGTGCACAAACATATAGCTTAATGTGACTAGTGTTCCTCCTTTTATTTCTTTCGCTATGGCAACCGATATGTTCTGCTCAGAAATGTTCCCCCATCAAGGAAACAAATGATGTGGAGGGAGCAGCTCTATACGGCATCTGTTCCAGAGGAGCACGCGGAGTTAACCTCGGTCCAAAGAGACGCCGGGCACGTCAACGAGAAGTGGGAAATGAGCGATTCTGTCCCCCCTCCCCAATTGAAACCTATACCTCCTTCGTTTTACAAGCCGTTTTATTGATTTGACTATCGACCGCCTCTAAAGAAGTAACTAATTCTAGGAAATTGCAATGATCGCGAGCTATCGTGTGCCCAAAAGAGCAGCAGCAAGTGGGAAGGGGRGTGGAGGGGGGAGATGATGCAAATAACAGAGCAAAATTAAAATAATTGGAAGTCACGCAGCGGGATATTGTAGCCTAGGTAAAGTTTTTCAGGCGCCTGGCCTACTAATTTGATCCTACGTTATTTATCACATTATTTACCGCACTGACCCAAACACTGTACAGGAGTTTCAGCCCATTAGCCTATACCTCTCAATTAGGCGGAATTCAGAGAAAGTGGATGCGGAGACAAGAAAGACGGTTGTTCAGGAGAGAGAAACCCGGGGAAATCTGGTCTGCCATCCTCAAGCCCCGACCTCCTTGGAGAATAAAACGCAGGGATGTCCTGGTTAGTTTTGATTGATTAGGCTCCTTCTGACGGACTTTGGCTGCCGAGCGCCCCGTGTCGCGCTTAACCGCCCGTTCCCGCGCTGCAGAATTAACCCTGTGGGCGCGCGCGGCCGCTCCGCGCCCTCCCGCGCTCCCCCCGCGCCCCCGCCGGCAGGTGCCGGGTCACCCGGTACCGGCCCCGCTCCGCCCGCAGCCCCCTCCCTGCCCAGCCACCCTCCTGCAGCAGCAGCGCTCGGAAACACCCAGCACCCCCCTGCCCCGCTTGGAAAATTAAATATATATATATATATACACACATAAAAGCAGCATTCTCGAGAGCTTTCCCTTCGCCTCTGCCACCCCCACGCCGCCACCAGCCCGAGTGTTACAATAATTAACAGTGCCCAGAAAAGTGAAGTAGTAACCAGAAAGACTTTCCAGCGCTCAAGGATTGCTCTGCTGCCTTGAGCTTTGGAAGGAATCCATGCCTTTTTATGTAATATTTCGCCAAGGTGTTTTTTGTTGCTGGTGGGATTTTTTCCCCCCCTTTCCTTTCCCTCTTATTTTTTTTTAAGCTTATTTCCTTCCAGACAGTTGCCATGGGTTTCTCTGTCTTGTCCTAAGCTTTTGAAAACATATATTCAGAAGGCTTTAAAGAAAACAAAAGTAGAGAAAATAAATGCAAAACACTTACCGCGCTTACTTCCAGGATTTCTAGTTTTTTTTTTTAATTTTTGATTTTAATAAGGTGACAGGGGGGAAAAATCATGTTCTCAACTCCAGCGAAACGATCCATGTTAAGATTTTCCTTTGCACTGACTCCACTAAGCCCCGCTCTCCACTAGTCTATTATTTTCACCAAAATATATGAAAATTTATGCAAATGAAAATCAGCACTAACTGTTCTCCCCTTGTTATACTTTGGATTTTTTTCCAGACAAAACAATCACACTCTGCAAGGGAGGGGGTGGGAAGAGTTGGGGAACTAAGTTTTTTTTTTTTTAATAAAAGATATTACTCCATCTCGAGCTTTATTTTTTTTGTTGTGGCTGTTATGAAGGTGCAACTATTTTTTTTTTATTTGAGGGGGGATTTATTCGCCCCCCCTTTTTTTCTTTTTCTTTTTTTTTTTTTTATTAAGAAAGTAGATCTGTTTGCAGAGGCGCTATCACGTTTCATCAGGCCACCTGAGACGGCTTTTGAAAGCGTGTACTGTGAAATTCATAGCAGTAATTTAGACAAAATCCTCACTGTATATTAATGAAAGACGGCCCCATGGCACCGTTCCTATCCTCCCCATTCAGTGTAAACAAAACCACGAGACTCGCTCGGTTTTTGAGCCTGATCCAAGCAAAATCGGCTGGAAAGGAAAACATGGGGTTCTGGCACTGACTATTCAAACGTCTGCACCTGGAGATCTCAGATTTATTCAATGAAATCTGTGTTAGATCTTTTATATACATATAT